AGAGTGAGTCCCTCCTCTCCAAGAAAACCAAACACCCCCAGTGAAAAAAAAAACCCAACCAAAAACTCAAAAACCCCAAACAAAAACAAAATAAGAAATTGAGGCCTGACTCTGTGGAGATGTTTCACCACAGTCACTGCACTTTTATTCCATTTGTTTCTTTCCATTTCCTACAGTGGGAGTGTTATCATGTTCTGTGTAAGAAATGACTCTTCATCCAGTTGTCCTAAAATTTTATTGACATAAAAATATAAATCTGGTGTGTGACAGATGAACTTGTTTGCAGGGTGTGGAGCAGAATGCTTGTATTGGGGAGAAAAGCTAGTTCAAACCAGAAGCTACTGAATGAGAGAGTTTAAGCAAAATACTACTTAAATTTGTAGAGAGTGGGCATGCACCCACAGTATTGGTATCCACAGTCAAGAGTATGTACACATCCATCATGTATGCACATGCACATGACTCTCAGCATATACTGTGTACACACCTCTGCTTTACTTTACTGTTTCTCATGGACACCTTGCCTGTTAAAGGAATTGTTGGTGCGCAACTGTTTTGTGATTTCCAAACTGACTAGCAGCTCCTTCTGCTCTTTATGGCTTCAAATATGCAGCAAAACTACATGAAATGAATCTTTGAATAGGCCAAATTAAGGTCGGTGTTTCTTCTACTGATAAGGAGTTTTATACATCAAAACAGTCTTCTTTTACATCTTTTTTTTGCCAAATCTTGTGGTGTTTCATGAAAAACCAAATTATATTTAAGAAGTAGGTTAGTGTTCCTTTTTTAATACAGATTAAAAACACAAATCACAAAGCAATTTTTAAAATTATTGTTGTAGTGTCTGGATTCCTGAATGTGAAAGTTGCCAACGGACAATTCTGTTCCACTGCTCCAAATACCTTCTGGGTATTGTAATATTGTAACAGATTTCCCAAGAAGCAGGAGCCATGGAGATTGTGTAGTATATAGCCTCCAAAGTCTTTTTTTGTTGGTTTTTAAAATTATTTTTAAAATGTGATGTGTTATTAGAAGGTTAAAGATGAGCGATATGAACAATAACTAAATGTCTTGATATTTCAATTTAATAATTTAAATTATTTACAGTTTAGTGAAGTTAAGGAAACTGAAGAGATGCAATCCTCAGCTTCAGGTTTCATCTCATAAAGAAACACTACTGGATGGAGTAACATTCCGGCAAAAGTTTGAATGCATAAGAAGCTCTGTGGGACTATACTGGAAAATCTCATATGGATCATATAGACCTAAGTCTTTGTTCAGTTGGTTCTTTCCCCTGCCATAGAAAAGACTTCTTAAAGACTTCAGTGTAAAGTTGGTGTGTAAATATATGTTTGATAACTGTAAAGCACATACGTACACAGAGACACAGACACACATGCACACTGGAAAATCACCTTCTACTTTTGTTCCCCTTATGTACTATGATTAGTGCAAGAAATCTCAGCCAAGGGCTCTAAGAAAATTAAAACAAAATGGTTAATAACATCAACATTTAAATTGTCCACTTCAAAAATAAATAATTCAAATGATACTGAATGTGCCTGTAGTGTGTTCATTAAGTAGTGTTACGACAGTCACTTAAATGGATAATGCCTGTGAAGTTTTCTTCTAATCTGCTGAATTTTGAACAAGATATTTTATGCCTGTACTGAAGACATGGGGTCCCTTTAAGCATTCCCTGCCAACCATTACACCTGAAGAATAGAGGCAAAGAAGCCAATGAGGCTGTGCCTTCAAGGTATAAAATATCTGTCATGGCATACAGAGAATTTTTAGCTCTCAGTTGTAGTGAGGAAGTACTGCTGCCTGCTTGGGATATTTGCACTCAGGCTGCTTGGCTTGGTGAGTTTACTAAATCTGTATACAGTAATTGCTAGTACAAGTTCCTCTAAACTTTGTTTACTAATAAATTGCTATAATTTACCTGGGAAATTGTGCAATATTTCCAGTTTAATTTGCTTTTAACATGCAATATCTAATTATTAGCTGGTTGAATTGTGGAAAAGGTGGGAAGTGAGTCAGGGCTCCCTCTTCTAATGTATGGTGTATTAGGTGTTATGTCTCCTTCACCTCTTTCCTTCAATGGGCTGTGGCCATTTCAGATTAGTGAAAGAAGTGACAAGAAAACACCAGCATTCATTACAGCATAGCTCTGACGTAAGAAAGCTGGATAAAACCAAAAGTGTAGTCAATTATCAGGAAGGTAACAGACACTTATTATGAAAAACCAAATATTTATTCAACTAAGAAGGTCTTTCTACCATAAGTATTAGAGATGATGAAGTGGAGAACCTAGGACATTTTAACAAAGCCCCAAGGAGATTTCTAAAGGAAAGCAGCCAGTCCCATTCCTCATTGAGTGAAAGACATCTTGGAAAGGAGAAAAGAAAGTGAAGCACCACCTGTGCTCCTACTCGACTTAAAATCAGAGGCATGGGAAGTAAATAATTACATTTAAATAATCAAGTCACATAATCATGTTATCGGAATAGCAATTTCTTGCTATTAGCTCTCTAATAATTGAATTACTATGATGTTTTTGATTTTAGTATTCCGAGTAATTCATGGTTACTCTGTTTTCTCTCTGAAGAATTCAAGATGTTAAAATAAATTATGTTTTATACAGAGTTTTCTGTACAAACAATTCTGGTTGTATAAGAAAACTGAGGCATAGCGAAGTTAGAACTAAAAAGTCTGTTGGCTGAAGACAGGTGCTGAAATTAAATCCCTTGACTCTTAGTCATCCACCTGGATAAATCATGCAATTAAATTTGCATCTATTTTCTCAGTTCTCAGGTTTATCAGTGATGCAGTGCACTGCCACCTGAAAGAGCTGCATTAATACAGCTGGGATTTCACTTCACCTGGGCAACAATGACATTCACAGAAGAGATGTCCCATCTGCTGCAGTAAGAATGCCATCTGTCTTTTCAGCATTTGCACTCCACACAGCAAAACAAGTTTTGAAGGGAAAAAAGTATCCTAAAAGATTCCTTATCCACACATTCAATTGGTTATGATTTTTCAAGGGTGAAAGAGTGGAGCAGTGTAGAAGAAATATTATCTCCTGGGCTCTTCCCTAACAGAGGTTCTGGCAAGCTTAAAAATCCATTGCCCCATCCATTCCACCTCAGTCTTTACCTGAAAGGATTAAGCACCCATAAATGACAGGACTGGTAATGGGTAAGAATTATTAAACCTTTCCAGTGTTAGCCATATCATAATGAAAGAGATTTTTCCCAAGAGCAATTTTTGCCGTTGCTATTTCCGAGGTCATTTATCATTGCATAACACCCTTTCACTAACATTATCAGGTATTATATATGTCAACTAATTGTTTTTACAAAGAGAGGAATTTTTGCTATTAATTTCTTTGATGTTCCTAATTTTCTCCTACTGCTGGCCCTTCCTCCTCCTCTATCCTCTACTGAACACATACACCTATCTATTTTTGTCGTTCTTCTGCCCATTAATTATTTTCACTAAGTTGTTGTTTCTTATGGAAATGTTACTCCTCAGTATTCTCTCAGGTTTTGTGTATTCTCCCACCTTTTAGTTTTCAACTATCCCACAGTTTCTGGAAGATACTGGTACTCATCCTTAAATTTAGGAATCAAAAATACTCTGTAAGTGGATTTGCTCAAAATAACCATATTTTCCTAAATTACTCCTGTTTGGAGAAAGACCAGGTGGCCTGGCTTAGAGCTAGCTGGAGTCACTGACCACTTCCCAGTTAAAACAGCTACACTTCATGCCAAGGGCATGCACAGCTTCTGTTCCTTTTTGTCTAGCACAGAACACATTGCTTTATTGGCCCTGCAAATTACCTCAGCTCTAGAGAGCAGCACACATGGAGCTGTGGAGCGCTGCAGCAGTTGCTGACCTCCTCCAGCTGACCCAAGGTACATCCTATCTCATCATCTGGATGTGAGGTGTAGAAGTGAATGCAAAGAGAAAGACAGGCAGTTTCTTGGCTAGCTGAAAAGGGCTGAATTACCAAGCAAAGACTGTTTCTGTATCTGTAATATGTCAAATGAATTATGTCAGGCCTTGTGATTCTTACTACTTACTGGAAAATATTTGTGGTTAACCCTGATTCTTCCCCCAAATTGTTTCATAGCAAAAAGTTTTGCACCTCTTGTTTTTCTTTTAAGTAGCCCTCTGTATGTGAGTCCATTCTACACTGACACAATTCTGCTCCAGGATTTATCTTCCAGCCCTTAAATACAGGCATGTATATTGTCATAGCTACATTATATTTTTATCTAAATAAACAGTAGACATGACTCAAGAAAACACCTTTTCCAAGAGTAATGACTCAGAGCTGCTTTTCCATACTGATATTCACAAAGTTGGTTAGCCCAACATATTAATGTCCTTCATATGAATGGAATTATTGAAGATTTTAAAAAGGATTACTTGCATGTAAAATGACAGCTTTAGATTTTTTAGAATTCATGTACAGTTAGTAAGGCTCTAAGCATTCATTTAATTGTTTTTTAAGCATCAGTAATGAAACTGAATTTCTCAGACATTAATTTCTCTCTATGCATTTAAACAGTATGGCCTTTAAATGGATAATTTCTACTGAAATTTTAATTTTAAAATTATAATTTTGATCAACTGGAAGAGAAGTTTAAGACTAATGTTCAAATTAAAACACTTATGAAACTAATGCACTGTGATGAACACCTGGTCCACACCTTGAACAGAAAGGACAAAGTGAAATTTTAATGCAAGATTCTGAAATACCAATTCAAGCATGCAGTGCAGTGTATCCTGAGTAGGTATCCTTAACTTGCATAAGACCTAAGAAAGTTAACTAAGGAAAATGAAGATAAGCAGAAATAGACAAGGTACTGTTTTAAAATATGAGTTTCAAGGGAAACAGAATAAATTAAATCTGGAGCATAGGTGAATTCACCTGATTTCCTCTCTGTGTTGTCTACTTGAATACTTAACTGCTTAAAACTTCCTACCTTCAGGTAATTTTGCCAGCCTGTCAAAAATCTGATGGGTGTTCTTCCGACAGATGTCTACTGGATCATCCAGGAGCCCAGTGAGGGCAGAAATGACTCCACTTCGTATTAGCCCTTCCCTAAAAACAGCAATGGAGGACAGATTTAGCACAGTATAATAAAACTTTGTACGTATTTGAGATATTTAATCTTAACTCTTCTTTACGCTGCATCTGTCTGACAAAACTTAGGAACTCTGTTCTTATTTCTCAGTGAAACATCACTCCCACATGGTTCAGTAAACTCTGGAATTGCACCTACCTGCCAATACTGTGCAAAGCCATTATAGAGAGAACTTCTGTTGTTTTTTGCCGGACAGTTTGATCTTGATGCACCAGCAAATTCTTCAGGCTGTCCAAGAATCCTAGGAGACATCAGAGTTCATCTTCACATTTCTTATCTCCAACATTAATTTGAAATAGCAATATTCATCATTTATGTCACAATTTGAAGTGCCTCAGAATTTTCAGCTTGTCCTGACAGTGAAATTCTCATTGTCATATCTCAAGTAAGGAACTTTCAAATTTCAAGGCCTACTGCCAAAAATGTCATGCTACAAACAAGCTCCTGACTCCTTATCAAGTTAAATCCTAATCCTGCAAATATAAAGTGACATAACTCTAAAAATAAGTAAGTAGAGCTATTGATGTCTTTAGAAAAGCATGTTTTTTTCAGGATTGACACTCTCTTGTCTTTTTTGAACAGAAATAAATGTGGTGAACCATTTATGATTGTATATGCACATATGGCACTGACCAAAGCCAAAAAACCTGACAACCCCAAAGTAACAACAATCTCACATTGCTTTGGCAATCAAACTGTTTATCAAACACTAACTTAATAAATTTTGAACATTAGTCTCTTTCATGAGAGGAAAAAAATACAAAGGAAGTACATGGAGAAAAAAGCAGTAGCAAAAAAGTGTTTTTTTTCTGTGTTACATAATGAGCTCTGTAGATAAACCACAGACTGCTAAAAACTGCAAAAATAAGCTTGTGGTTAGGGGTTTTTTCCTCCCCCAAAATCAAAACTCAGGATTCTTCCAGGCTTTTGAAATAGGTGGTGGCCAGATGTGGTCTTGATGAGTATGATAAATTTGCTCACATTTCTTTCTTTTCTAATTTCTCATTAAGTTCCAGGCAAGTGGGTGTTGGTGGTGATGGAGTTCTAACTTTGAACTAATTAAGAGGGTTTTTTTTTTTAATAAGCCTATGTTAGGAATTAGATAAAAACAGAATAAAGTCTGGGGACATGGTTTAGTGGTGATCATGGTAGGGCAGAGTTAACAGTTGAACTGGATTACCTTAGAGGTCTTTCCCAACTTCAACAATTCTATGATTCTATGGAAAGAGAGATCCTGCAGTACTTTTGTGTTTAGGGGTAGATAAAACTTACAGTGACCCATTGATGAATCTTAAAGTGCTGACAATTCTTATAATAACTGTCACGTATATGTTATTATAATATTTTTTACCTTTCTAAGGTAAAACAAACAGGAATTTTTTCCGAGGCGTCTTGCATCATCAAAGATATTGTAAGGAAAAAGTAAAAGAAGAAAGTAGAATGGGGTTCCCCCCTCAGCCGGCCCCAGTGTGTCAGAGCTAGTGAGAACAGATCACTTACCCAGTGCTATTGCCTGGTAGACTTTTTCTGGATCGTGGACCAGATCGCAGAGAGCCATCAGCGCCCGCTGCTGTGTCAGCAGCTCGGGAGCCTGCAGCTCCTCGTTCAGTTTAGGAAGGGCTCTCCTCCCAAACGCCACAGCAGCTTTGGTGGGGTCGATATCAGGGGGGAGGTAGGCTGAGATACGAGGTGTTGCCATGCCAAATCTTCCTGAGAAAGATTCTCCCTATCCCTAAAAATACTCTAAAATGGCTGTACTTGGTGACTGGGCAGATAATGTACCACGAAGACACCTACTGACTTTAAACTGTGCCCTGTGTCCCCAAGGAGCTCTTTTAGCAAACATACACTGTCAGGAAGCTGAGAAAGAGGCTGGAATCGTGCATCATCAGCACTAACGTGTGCTCATCTGCTGAATTGTCTTAATCTGGTTTAATTCTCTCTGAACACTGTAAAGAAAAGAGAGAGAGAGAAAGAAAGCTTGACATTTCAAGGAAGGATGTTCCTTGAGGGAATGCTTTCTAAAGGGTTCAAGTGAAGCAGCCCAATGCCCAGAATTGGAGGAGGCTTAAAATAATAAAATTAAAGCAAAGGAAAACAAAATACCTCTTTTTTTCCCAAAGAAGAAAAGCATTTGTTAAAGGGATCTGGTTGAAACCTGCCCTCAGAATTCGGTAACGTTTGATAGAATACGTGAGGGCTGCCCCCCCCCCCCCGCGCGCCCTTCCCTCAGTACAGAAAGCGCCTCAGCTGACTGAACACTACGACCGCCAATACTGAAAACTGCTAACAACAAAAACAAAAGTTAAAACAGTCTCTAAACGACTCCACTTCTCACTTCAAAGCAAACGAAACAGACTAAATAATCGAAGGCGCCGTGTGCCATTACCGCGCCCCGGCTGCCGCCCCTCAGCGCCGGCCGGCCCGCAGCGCGCGCGTGCCCCGGTTGCCACAGCGCCCGCTGTTTGCGTACGCGCCTCTTCGTGAATAGCGACTAACGCCGCCGAGCCCCGGGCCCGGCCCTGCGTCGCCCGCGTGAGCGCCGCGTTTGGCAGCGCCCGTGCGGAGGGAGTTACGTCAATGGCGTAGTTGGGAGCGGGGCGCGGGGCGCTGAGGCGCGGCCGCTGAGGGGAGCCGTGAGGGGACGGCGATGGCGCCGCGAGGTCCCGGAGTGGCGGCCGTTCTACCTCGGTTCTCTGCTGCAGTGTGTAGTCTCTCTCCTCGCTCCCTGCATTCAAAGTAATTTTACTCGAACAAAATCGAGAAAAATTCCGAGCGAACAAAATGGTGGTCGAGTTAAGGGCAGAAATACAGCAGGCGAGTGCCTTGGGGTACAAGGGCTGAAGGGAGCGCAGTAGTTTTGGACTAGGTTTTCTTTCCTGTTCTTCTCCAGAATGTCACCCTGAACAGCCAGAATGTGTAGTAAGGGTCTTTCCATTATTACGTAGTTTCACATAACTGTTCAGAGGAAGGTACACGGGAAGAACGGGTGATTGCAATTTGTGGCACAATTTAAGGGTGTTCTGGATTGTCGGATGTTACCTGGCGTCAGGAAAAACTCTGAACAGCTGGTGCTATAAAAGGATAGGGCAGATAGTGAAGTCGTTGGGATATTTTTCATTATGTCTGAGTAACAATTGTAATAATCAAAGTTCTTACAAAGGATTTCACAAATCCAAAGTAATTCTGATCAGCTGGATTAAAATGCATCACAGGAATAGGTTCTGATTTGTTGATCTTCAAAAATCCGTAAAATAAAAATTGCTACTTTAAAAAGTATTTTCTGGAAAGGATTCATTTATCTGCAACATTTTAGAGCTGATTATTTACTTTACAGGTGATTTGCCTGAATTAGATTGGACTTCCACTAACTGTGTACTTGAAGTTCACCTGATTTCCATAGGAAGAACATGAACTTTTCTCAGCGTAGAAAGAGCGAGACCAAATCAGACACTTGTCCCTCAGTGTTATCTCTGCTTTTGCTGTGAGTTGTTCTGTCTTGTCCTTCACTGTAGCTTGGAATACTGATTTTGTTAGTGGTTGTGATGTTAAATTATTTTATGTATGCCTTCTGAATGCCTTCCTCACATCCTTTGTCTGTCCACAGAAGCTGCTGGCACTACTGCTCTTGCAATGGTGAGATAAGGAGGGTTGTGATGCCATGGAGACACTGTATTCCCAGCCCTCCGTGGTGACTGAATCCCCTTTCAGCTCTTTAGAAGAGAAAATATGGATCATTCTCAGTATTCTTAGCAGCTTTTTATTTCTTAAGTTCTTTTCCTGTAATGGTGTGTCTTATTTGTTGATAAGGTAAATTGGGATATGCTTATATGTGTGTGAGATTTAGATTAAATACATTAAGTATAAGTGAAGATGGCCTCTCAATTTTGAAATATATCTGTGTGGTTGCCTTGGTCCCTCCTGTGCTTTGTGTTCACTGAGACTGTTGAACTGGGGTTTTGGTAGTTTAGTTTGTGGAAGAGCTCTAGTAGAGGAGCAGTGAGTCAGGCTTTGTACACATGGCAGGTGTTTACTGTGCTTAGGAGGTGCTGAACTACAACTAGAACATGCAGAAAGCAAGTTAGTATTTGGAACTCTTAGCAACTCGTGGAGTTTTTGTGTTCAGAACTCTGCTAATAGTTCTGACATTAAGACATTAATATTGCTGTGAAATCATTCAAGCTGGCCAGAAGGACAGGAGCACACTGTAACAAGGGTCTAGATCTCCCAAGCAGTGTAAGTAGAACTCTCCATATGGTAATAGATAAATACTGTAATCTCACCTTCTTTGGTGAATAACCCATCAGCTACAAATCTGGGTTCTTAGTGGACAAGTGGCTGTCTTGGTACAGTTGAGCTCATATTTGTGCCTGAAGTGGTTTAAAAGCAATTCCTCGTGGAAGAAAATAAAACATTAATTCTAAGTAGTGGACTAGCCATTTTCTTAAGCATTATTCTTTGTGTGTGCTTGTAAAACACATCTGTAGGGCTTTTTCTTCTGTACTTACTCACTGTTTAAAAAGACCAGGCTGCTTTGATGTGCCCTTTAACCTTTTTAGTCTGCTGCAGAAGTGGGAGAGGCTTGTCTCCTGGTTCAAAGCCGCTTACAGCTTTATCAAAATATAACTATTAGAATGACAGAGCTTTGTTTTCTCCTGAAAGTTGAAAATTTAAATCCCAATAAAATACAAAAAAAGCAAAATCTTTTAGCATCCTAAGTTGCACTCTGGCTTACTAAATACTGTCTAAATTAATGAGTTAATTAACAGTACTTAGGTAATGCAAAACAGCTGTGTAATTTCTTATTCCTTGTCTTTGGAGTTTTGTACATTAGAAAGCAAGATTATTAATGAGTAGAAAGACATTTATATAATTCAGAATGTCTCATTAGTGGCATGCGCATCCTGACTTTAAAGCTGAGATGAAATCAAGTTGAAATGCTGAAAAAATCCCTTGGGAGTTTCTTTAAAATTGCTGCTATGCTTAATATTAGCACTGTGACAGTTCCCCACTCCAATAGTTCCTTGTCTAATAGGTTCATCCAGCTCTTTGTATCATATACACAACGAGAAAATGGAGAAAATGGAACTGTTTCCTTCCCAGGCTTAGGGACAGTTTGGTTTATGAAGGAGCAGTTTCTGATCAAAGGGACCTGTATGTCCACTATAACGAGTTTGTTGTTTTAAAACTACGGCTCTGTGTATAGTTAAATTACTCCAACCCCGCCTTCCCGCTCTGTGGAAGAAGGGGAGGAAGGGAATTGTTGCAAACCTGTTGCTATGGCCACGTAGCAGGGGCTGAGCTGCCTGTGCGGCTGGAATCCTGCTGCATCAGCTGCTGCTCGGTGAGTCCTTCCTTACACTTTGCTACATGATGAAAATGCTCCCATTAGAAATGTTCTTTTGAACGCCAGTAAGAAATCGGTGCCCTATTAAGGGTCCCCTCCCCCAGCAACCCACGAGGTTTCCTTACATAACCAAATTGATATATCTCAGGTGAGACATCTGAACGCATTTGTGATCTTCATGTGAGCATTTTTCTTTTTCCATGTCAGACGAATTTCATTCTTTCTGAGCTGATCTTGGATGAAAGTTTGATGTTGTGCCAAGAAATGTGGCAGCTTCATCTTTCCTCCCTTCTTCTGACCACATGAAATCTGGGATCCCCTAACATTAATTAACGTGCTTAGTGCAGAGGCATTTGAAACAATGATGAGCAAGATTTTTAAATTAAACACTGCAGAATCCTTTGAGAGCTAAACTGCAAGCACTTGAGTTGAATTAAGTGAAAAATTCTCTGTCCTCCCAGGGAATTAGAGTTGGTGCCTTGCAATTTCAGAAGGCCACTGTTTGCTACTACAGCTATGCACACTGAGGTGTCCTTTTTAAACGAAAAACAGCTTTCCTTCCATGCAACCTGAGTTGAAGAACAGCCAGTTGTACCGAAAAAAAAAAAAGAAAATATGACAAGTCTCCAAGGTTAGTTTTTATCAAGTTATCGCTGTATTGAGGTAATTCCTGAATACTGTGTTTCTTTTTACGTATTTTCAGTCTTGTAAAATTTAACTGAACTTGGAGGATGAAGTCCAGCCTAATGCATTTTGTTCCCCCAGTGAGTAGAGAAAGAAGAATCTCCCAGTTTCCCAAGGTAAGCGTTTTTTATCCCTTTGGTCACAGTATGTAGCCCCTGCCACACTGATCTGTCTTTCCATTGTGCTAATATGGTATTTGAATTTAATTTAATGTACACTTGTTGTCTTCTGTTAAGATTACAAATTATTTAAGATTCTTTCAAAGTTTAGTGTAGCCTCATAGTCCCATTCAATATTGACCTCTTTAATAATAATGCTCACTCTTCTTTCTAACATTTACAAAAAGTGACATTTTATACAAGTGTTATCTTACAATATTTATCTTGTTTTTTCAGCAAAACAGTCATAATTACATGCTGAAGGGGCTCCAACACTGAGGGCAAAGAGGAACCATAGCTGGTATTAAATTTGCAAAAAATCTAATTAGGAGGCTATGGTTAAAGATTTTGAGGCAATTTTAATTTTCTGTTTGTACAAGAACCTTAGTCATACAGTAGATCAAATGTAGTAGGCACTGTAGAAGCAAAGACAAAATACCTTTGATGTCCCCAAAGACTTTTGTATTTGAAGTATAGCGGAACAGTTAAGGACTGGGAAGGGCAAGGAATTAACACTTGGTTTTTTTAGTTGTTCAAAAGGTCCTTTTAAGGGAGTTCACTTTCTTTTCCATTCTTCATCTCAGCCACATATTTTGCTTTTAATTTTATGAAAAATACCACAGGTATTTTAAACAAATGCAAAATAAAATAAATTTTCCTCATTTTTAACTAATTCCCAGTTAAAGGTCTAGTAACAAAAACAGTCCTTCACACTTATAAAAGATTGAAAAACTTCACAGTAATAATGACGTGCTGGTGGTGTGCTCCCATCTGTGTTTGTCTTGTGTGTCTTAGATTGTTGGGATAATTGAAAGCACTTACTGTTGTACAGAATGATGAGCAAACAGATTTGGCCATGGGTGCTTAGGCAGTGCTGGACACTGACACTCAAAAAGGTGCTCAAAGGATGGTGTTGTCCCAAGGAGTTTTTACAGACACAGCTCTGGGGAAAGCTTACTGCCTTCTGACCCAACCCAGCCCTTTTCTTATGCCAGGGTAACTCTGTTCTTGACAAACCCTGTGAACAATCATTTTGTCTGTTTTTTCCTTGCCTCTTTGACCTCCTGCCCAGTAGCCATCCCCCAGTTTGTGCCAGCAGCTGTTCTCTCTTTTCAGTGGTACACACCTGAGGCCTGTCTGCAGTTTAAAGAGCACTTCCATGCACAGGTCAGGACTGCTTGTCAGCACAGCACTGCAACAGCTGGGTAAGTGTGTACTAAGCCAGGTATGCAAGGAAGGAAGTGTTTTAAGCTCTTTATAGCCTCCTTTCTTCATTACCTTTCTCCCCATCATTCCTCATATTCCTCACTCCATTATGTTTTAAGGCAGCTAAGCCCCTGCATGGGGCAGTTCTCTGACCTGTTCTACAGAGCATGAAACAAGTGCCTCTTCTTCTGCTGGAATAAGTAACATTGAAAAAAATGGTGTAGTAGTTTAGAAATGACAAGGTTTTTAACACCCTTTAAGTAAACACTTAGTTCAAAAGGTCTAACACATCCAGTCTTGCTGTGCTCTCTGCAGGTGTTCTAAAGGAGCAGTTAATAAAGGCTTTGGAGGGATATAAAGGCAGCAGTTCTAAGTTTCTTGAAATGTCTAGAAATCTGGTTTAATCTTTTTGAAGTATACATGCTGAGAAGTTCTCTTAAATGGTTCCTTAAAACTGAAGGAAAATTCTGGTAAATACATAGAATTTAAAAATCAAAATAAGCTGATTTATGCACTACTAATGATCTTGAAGGTTTTTTTTCCCCTGCATTATCTCTCTTCCAGAACTGTTGCCATTACTGATTTAATCTCTGAAGCAAGGCAAGAAAGCTAAACTGTGTTGAAATCATCACTATTCAGTTAAAATAAATAGCTGTACATTTTAGTGATAAATGCTTCTGGTTTCAGTGTGAAGGATCCTCCATAAAGTGGAGCTCCTATGAATGCTGACAATTAGCTCACTATTCCTCCAGCTCTGGAGTTGCTGACATGAGACTTGTCATGATATCCATCTTTAAATGCAACTTTTTATTCATTTCACTAGGGAGTCTTGCTAAAAAAAACTTTTTAAGCCAAAATATGTCACCCTGAGAGACATCAGTGACTTTATTCCTTTTTAGAAACACAGTCACTACCTTAGTTTCATGTAAATTTTTTGCAAGTGTCTGGACAATTTTCCAAGTAAGCCATGCTTTATTGAATTGAGGTATTTTTCCTTCAATTTCCAAGATGTATTTGTTTGGGATTTTTGTTATTAGTATATTTTTAAATTTATATAGTAAACTAACTCTCTATATAATTTATTCTGGTAACAGAGTCTAACTAAAAAGCTATAAATTTTGTCTTTGTGAATAGAATGAAACTGCATTTCTGTCACTGCTTTCCAGATATGATTATTATTTGGTCATTTAAGTCCTTTCTTGGTGGAATGGGGGTAGGAAGGGCAGCCAGAGTGTTTTGTGCAGTACTTGTAAAGCTTGACAGGAATAACCATTATCTTCCTTTTCCATTATCCCAGCTAATAAAATATTTCTTTGTCCTTTGGAAAGCTAAGTATATAAATTCAGTAGCTAATGGCTGTATTTAATACTCTCCTGATAGTCCATCTTCGTGTTAAATGGTCTGATCTAGGGAGTTCTTTCCCCAGTATGAATTAATGGAGCACACACCTCTAAGCCATCACTTACTCTTTGGCTTTTCCCTTAAGGTCATTGATTTTATTCAGTATAGTAATCAGGAGCACAGGGGTTTGTGGTCACCCACTTAATGTTGACTGGCACATAAGCTCTTTTTTTCTTTTTTGGAAATATTAGTCATGCAGTTTACCAGTCATTTTTTCAGCTATTTTGATAACTTGGAATCAGCATCACATGGAAGTTGATGTAACCAGAAATAGTATTCAATAGAAGTTCACCTCCTTTGTTAAAAAGCCATTCCTTGATAGAAAAGAGCATTAAACCTCTTAAGCTGTTTTTGTAGCATGTGCACCAGAGATGTCAGTCCAAGTTTGGGTTAATAAATAAACTTACATTCACTTATCCACCTGGATCTCCTAAAAGAGACACAGTTTCAATTTTAAGAATGCAGGCTGAGTCACCTAAAGCCCATCTGCTGTATCCTGTGGGAGGACCTAGAGCAAAGAGGATTATTTTCATGAAGCCAGGTTCAGATTAATATTATTCCAGATAGTCAGAAAATGTATTGGCTCTAGCCCTGTGGGTTGTTTTTCCCAGAGGCACATTCTGCAGTGGGTTCTTTTATTATCAGCAATTCCTTATTTCTGCACTTGGGACTTCATTTGTGCTATTAAAGTCAATGAGAAACTTGGGATAAACTGGAATGCAAAGGACGAAGATATACTGTGGTCTTATGTATAAACTTATGTAAAAACATGCCAAATGCATATACTTGTAGTCAAAGCAATTTTAATAGAATAAAATTAGTTCCACTGAATTGAAATTAAGAAATAATAAACAGGGTAAGAAATGGACTACTTCTACTCCAGAAGGGTTTGGTTTTTTGGTGGCTTTCTTTCTTGCAATTTAAGACTCAGATTGTGCAGCACAGTGGCACATAGATAAACTAAGTCACGGGTACATGTGCTCCTCACTTGCAATTTAAACCTCTAAATCAGAATTTTTAGAAGGAGATTGTTGAAATTACTACTAAAACTGTGTAATATTTTCAAATATTTATAACAGGCTGAAAATATCCAAAGTGGTTGTGGTAGGAGACCTGTATGTTGGGAAGACCAGTCTTATCAACAGGTACAGTATATCTCAGCTGATGGTTTGATTCTCCTGTTTCTCATTTCCATTGCTGGCTTCAGAGCAGTGCTTGATGGTTCTGGTTTGAACCTGAACCAGTACATTGTGGTTTGAATGAAGTCAAGAGTATGAGACAGTCTTGATAAATCAACACAGAAAGTTGTGCTCTAGCACTTCAATCAGTATATGTTACATTCTGAAGTATTTTTATCCAGTCAGATATGAAACTGTTTTCTTAAGGAATCCAGTCTAAAGGCTAAACAATTGGAAAAAAATTCCAGTGTCTGAGTCTTTGTTTCATTTGGGTCATTATTTGTGACTCAAAATATATTTCCTTGTAACTAAAACTGGAAGATACTGTACCTCCCTTGAGAGCCCAAAGATGTTTTATTCTGAGTCTCATACTATCCTGAGAGTTTATTAGATATATGTGCTTTCTAGTTTGTTAAACAGTATCTCCTTTTCTTTTAGTTAGTGTCTTTATGTTTTTTTGTCTGTTTCTACATTATATAGCAAATCCACAGTTTTTTCTTTTCTTCATAATTTACCCTAGACAATGTTAGTTTTGCAATTATTTGTAGTTGTCTTATTGGTATTTCATCTTTTTTTTTTAATTGCAGATTTTGTAAAGATAATTTTGACCGAGACTACAAGGCGACCATTGGAGTAGATTTTGAGATTGAACGTTTTGAGATAATTGGAATGCCATATAACCTCCAGATGTGAGTTGAAAGAGCATGGTTAAGCATTGCATAGAGTACAGTCTCAGCAGAGCTTCAGTTGCTGCAGGCTGTAGTGGAATAAAGATTTTAAAAAATTAATGCAATTGCACAAAGAATAATGTGATCTGAAGAAAAGATTCTGTCTCTGGATTTGCAGTTTTAGTAGAAATTTTACTCTTGGATTTCTCATCTCTGAAAAATATTACAAGCTTGTCAATGAAAATTCATCTGGATGTCTTGCACTACTTCAGTGGATTTCTGTCTTTTTTACTCAATGTTCATAAAGGAGAAGTGGAAGCTTTTGCCACAGCTTTGTCCAGTGCTAATGTAACCCCAGTTTGTGATTTGAGTTTAGTAGGCACAATGAGCACTGAACTTAGCTTTACTGGGGGTTTTATTCCTGCAGTCATTGAAATTAATGCTAAGGTGTCCAGTGACTTCAACATCTCTTAATTAGCAACTAATTAATTATCCCTAAATCATAGGCTGGAGTGGTTTTATTAGAAGGTGAACCTAATAGCTTTGATTTTAAACTTTGTTTCTCAGACTAGTGGGAGTCCTGCCCTTCTTCCACCTGCCTTGGGTCTGTGGTGTCCCTTTGTGTTTCTGGTGGCCAGCAACATTGTTCAGGAGAGGGCTTTATGGAATCATCTGTAGTGTGACCTAAAGCAGAAATAAGGTGCTTTGCAGAGGTATTTTAGTGCATGAATCTTAAAAACCTTTTTACTCCGGAACACTTTTTTTCTAGTGAGATCACTGATGTGAATAGATGGCTTGTGGTATTTATTGAAAAATACTTAAAAATCCATTTCCTACCGATTTCACTGCAATTGAGTTTGGGAAGTTCTGCCAGGTGCTATCCTTTTGGAACTTGAGTCCCTCTAAAAATCTAGACTAATGCATCAGCGCTTTGCAAACTGAAGCAATAAGGTCAGGTTGTATTATCTGCAAAGTCTTCAGAAGCTGGGTAGAACATTTCCATATGATAAGCACTAGTGCCCCCTCTTGCTGAGAGATTTCCATGCAAGATATATTTGAAAGTATCTGTGACTGGCAGTGCAAGGCTATAACAAAACCCAAACCTCTGCAGTGCTGGCAGTAGCTGAAGGCATTGCATATCGTGTTCATTAATTAGAAGGACATTCTTGATTTTATTTAATGGTGTCATTAGTACCTGGTAGACTGAGCTGCAGGTCTCTAATTTGTAGGGACAGATATCTTATCTAGCAGTTGCAAGATTCTGACATGAGTTAATACATGACTTAGCTAGCATTAGCAGAGAAAATTTACAAAACTAGATTGCCCTAGAAATACATGCAAGTTGCAGAGGTGAAAGAAAAAAATATCCTAAGGAAAGGATATTACCATACAGAATACAAATATTTGAATTGTCTCCAAAATTACTAGTATTTTTTATGAAAAGGTAAAAATGGTGTTCACATGTCTTCATTGACTAATAGAGCTTTACTGTATTTCTATCAGTAGTTAATGAGTAACATGTTCCAGATGGTGACACTTCTCTGGTATCACATTCTTCTCTGCCTTGTACCAGTCTGCTGCTTCATTAACATGTTTACTCAGCTTACCCTGGCTTTCATTAACCTGAAATTTCTTTTTTCCCCCGTTGCACAGATGGGACACAGCGGGTCAGGAGAAGTTCAAGTGCATTGCATCTGCTTACTACCGAGGAGCAGAGGGTGAGAACGATATTAATTTGGTCCTGCTTTTGTCAGGAGGTTGTATTTTGTACAGCAGTGTATATCCATAGATGCTCCTTGGGAAGGTACCTATAGACATAGTGTGCTGGAATGGACTGTCCATTCTTGCAGGGCAGAAGGGATGAAGACGTTCATGACTTGATGTGTTGTCACATCTGCAGGCTCTGTGTGTTCTGATGATGCAGTGATAGAAAGTGGCACTTGTGACTAGGGGGAAAAGAATTTGAGGTTGGGTGAGATTAATGCTGGAGTTGGATGTGGATATTTCTGGCTTTCCCTTTGGTAAGAGACAATCCTGTGGTAATTAGTGGTCCCACAATGAAAGGGTTGATAGCACTGTAGACTGCAGGCTACAGATATGATGTTGAAGACTAAGGACTTAGGTCTTATTGGGTGCTAGAAAAAGAAAAGGAATGAGCAAATGGATAATCTTCCATCTGCTATGTGTTAAATCTGTTCTTAAAACCTTATACATAAACATTCTCTCTGTCTAACAAGATGGGTTGGAGAGACTTCTGATACACTTTCTAATTTAATTACCTTTTTTATAATTCTTGTCTTTTATTGCAGTTATAATAACTGTGTTTGATCTGGCTGATATCCAAACTTTGGATCATACCAAGTAAGTTTCTGTGTTTTGGCTTATCTTTTAAAGGTTTTTACAGCAGGTTTAATTGCCTTCCATATGTAGGTGTTAAGAACTTGCTGGATCATGAGTATATTTTCTATTGAGCCAAGAAATTAAAAATGACAGTCACTAGTTTGGATTACTTAGGGAGGGATTTTTCTGGAGAAAATGCAGGGCATAAATTTGAACTGCTTACACTTGACTTCCTTTAAAGTCAGTGCAGAGAGAGAGGCACTGGAGTAAAGGCTTAGTCCTTCCAAAGCTAGATGTGCAAGAAGAGATGAAGTGTACCCCAAAAGCATCTTTTTTTTTTTTTTTTTTTTTACTTTATTTGCTGTAAATAGAATAACAGGCTGGAATCTAATGTAAATGATAAAAGTGATTAGATGCATCTCATGCATAATGTCTCATGAGCCTTTCATTTTTTAGGTGCACTGTTATCCCAACATTTTCTTTCTCTAGTTTCTGTGGCTCTGATGGGAGACAGGCTGTCAAAAATAAGAGAAAATTAAAAACTCCAAGTGTGTGTAGATACAGCTAAACTTACTGGTTCAGATGCTTGTAATGATTTGGTTACCACAGCACACTAATTGTTATGAGTAAACTCGTTCTGCTTTTAGTGCAGGCTGCAAAGCCCTTCACAGAGCTGTGATCCACACTGCTGTCACAGCTCAGAGCATATGTATTTCTAACGTGCTGTTGTGACTGTGATGCAGCTACAGACTCCTTACAACCTGCACTCTGCCTTATTTGAATGTGTACTATGGTGCTTAGCTCATTTACATAGGACTTTGTAAAATAATATATATATTAGTGTCTCTGCTTGGCTGAAAGTAATTGAAGCCTGTGAACCTGATTTCCCACACAGACACACACTCCCTTCCCTCCTTGACTTGTGTTGGATGACTCAAGAGAAACTTGATTGCCAGAGTAACAAGAATATAAAAGCCTGTGAGACAAGAATCATACAGCCTTCATAGGCAGCTGTTTTATAATGCTGAACAGATTATTTCACTCTTTATTCCCATTTGTATCTAACCTGCTATGTGGTTCATACCTTTTCAGTTGCTTCTTGCTTTCTTATTCCTTATCTTGCACCAAACTTTGCCTTCTCCCTTACACTGAGAAATATCCTCTCTAGGTGCTAAAATGATTGTTGAATTTGTACCCTGCCATGGGTATGATTTTTCCTTAGTGGGAGATATATTCAAAGGAGTTGGAATAGCTAGTGCTCCCTCTGGCTAGAAAAAAAGCCCTTGGATACTCTCATATAAGTTCTTCCACTCACTTTTCTTGTGACTGTATTATCTATCATCTTCTCCTGTACAGCTTGTTCCCTCTGACTGGTTCTGTCATTTCTTTTTTGTATTTCAGACAGTGGCTAGAGGATGCATTGAGGGAGAATGAGCCAGATTCCAGCTTCATCTTTCTGGTTGGAACAAAAAAAGATTTGGTGGTGAGTAAATTGAGTGCAGATAAGGAAATCAGATTTTTCCTAGTTCTTCAAGTGATTTCCCTTGCAAGTTGTGCACAATGTCATTGAGATAAAGACCTTTAGAAAAAACTTAAAAGGTAAATTGAACAGCACACTTGAAACCCATTTAAGAAGAGGCTTTCTAAAAAAATGACTAGTTAGTGAAATATTTCTTGCCTGACATTTTTCAAGCATGTATACACATACATAGTGATCTTGAAGGTTTTGTTGTTGTTCTGTAACTGTTCATAGGTTTTCTTCTTTATCTTCATTTAAAATAAGTATGAAATTTAGAGCATTATATTTTTATTTATTATGCCAGCAAGCCTGACATGCTGGATATGGATCCTAGAAATATGGAATTCTAAGCTAGATACTCACAACTGTGTATTAGAGTTCAGAGAGCTATTGGAAAAATTAGAGGGAAATTGGTTTTTAAGGGATAGTGTGTTCATTATTCAGGAACAGGGAAAGTTTCTTACTTAATTAAATATCACAAATTTTTCAAAAGAACAGGGTGAATACAGTCTCTCTGTACAATTCTCAGTCCTGTGTTTGTCTTTCTGTAGAAAAAAAATTTCTAAAGCTTTGAAAACAAACTTGTTTCTTCTGTTACTAGTTGGTCCCACAACTCTTCTGCTGAGAATGATGAGGTGACAAGGATTTAGAGACCATTCACTGAGCTGCTGGCTTGATAGCCCTTTACCAGGGAATGTGTTAAATACAAGGGTCACTTGTTAACTTTTGTTTTGTTTCAGTGCTGCGGGATCTGAGTGGAGACTTCCATTAAAACCAATATTAAATACTTGAACGTTCTTGCAGTCATGTCTGATTGCCCAAGTCTAGGCAAGGTCAGAAAGGCCACTGAGAAAACTGGAAGCATCAGAGTGTAGGTGCTATGGCAGTGCCTCTGTGCTGTTACCAGCCCAGACACTTCTGCTCAAGTTATCCCACATTGTTTGCCCAGTCAGATGCTGTGTGTGAAAGGACAGAGCTGGATGCCATCCGTTTTGCCAAGGAGATGAAGGCAGAATACTGGTCAGTCTCAGCCAAAACAGGTAAATTACTGCAAAGGATGTAAAAATAGCATAACCACGAGGGCTGATGTTGGAGTGGGAGGAATTTCTTATCTCCCCATTGCCAGGTTTTTTGTTGTTGCATTTTGCTATTAGAAACTTCTGGCTTATTAATGGCTGGTTTTATTTGAGCATTTGTATGTGTGCTTTCACTGTCGTGTTTGCAGAAGTAATCGAGCTGCTTTGCAGTATCTGAGCATGTTTAATTCATGGATAGTTATATAAATACACATGTGCACTACTACTCAACGTTTGCAATGGAAAAAGATTACACCATAAAATGAATTCTCTCTGTTGCTGGCTAAAGATAAAGGTGCAGAACAGGGTACATGGGGATGCAAAGCCTGGGAAAGTGTGAAAACAGGAAAGCTTTCCCATGGACTACCTGAGAAATACAAGCTTTCTCATAGAAAAACAGAAAGGAAAGAATTTCAAACAAAGATGCACCTGCTATTGTTTACAGAATGTGTACCGTCAGAAACTGTATTGTTTACAGGAAGAACATCTTGCTAGAGGTGTTGCTTGCTCTGACCAATGAGCTGTGCTCTGTTCTCAGCATTTGAGTGTACATAAGGAAAGTAGTGTTACAATGAAGTGTCCCTTTCCTATCTTGAGAGAGGACCATGTTGCTGTGTTTTATTACTGCAGTTCTATAGCTAACTGTATACTAAAACAGGTACAGTATTCTAGAGTAAGAAAATTCGAAATTCTTTCTGCAGTGATCAGAATGGGAGACAGATTGTTGGAGAGGCCTGTTCTGTCCCAGTATTGAGCAGTCAGCTGTTCACAGATGTGCTTGTTATACTTATGGTCATGTGTTGATGTGCCTTTATAAAACCACGTCATTTCTGTCTTGTTTCCTAGGAGAAAATGTCAAAGAATTTTTTTCCCGAGTTGCTGCCTTGGCCTTTGAACAGTCCATGATAAAGGAGCTGGAGAACCCTCCTAGGCAGAGGGCCCAAATTGGGGCAGGAAATCTCATCAGTATGTGGAGTTCTGTTTTTTGTGTGCTTTTTCCTTGTTTACAGTCTGAAGGACTGGGGAGATTTTTCAAGCATTAGAGCCGGTTTCAAACACCTGCAAGCATATTTATATCATTGTCTGCCCAGGTTTTAGCCTGCAAGAGTGACTGGGCCTGCATCCAGCTTTAGTTACCCTTAATATCAGATGGTATAATTTCTTTTAAGTTGATTTTATAACTTTTTTGTTTCCACAGAACTAGAGAAGAACATTATGGAAGTTCCAGAAGACAACGCTCAAGTCAGCCTGAGTTGCTGCTAACTGTCACACTGTGAGAAGTACCACACTTCTCTGCAACAATGCTCTCAAACCAGAAATGGAGAGCTTTAATTTTAGAAATGAGGGAGGAAAAACTTACCCAAACTTTCTTGCTGAGAGTTCCCTTGCTGCTGCAGGCTCCCCGTGCAGGGTGCTACAGTTGTTATGTAACCCTTCCTCTGTGTAGTTGAAACATTGCATCCTTGTCTTAATGCAAGAAGACATTGCCAGTGCCATGGCCTCACCTGTCAGCCAGAAGGGCTTGGTGTCAAAAATGATGTCATTTTAGTAATTTCGTTTTTTGATAGTTCTTTAGAAATCTTAGCTAGTGAAGTGGCATTCTTGTGGGAGCAGGAAACAAGTAGCAGTTCAGAATGAAGGGTGCTATCAATATGGTTTTGCTTTTAAAATCATAATGTAAAATAACTCTGATTTGCTTTTATGCATTACAAGTATTTTAAAACTACTTGAAAATAAATCTTTTAAAGTATCAGGACTGGAAGTACACAAATGCAAACTGCATAGTTTCCACTGTGGTTTCTCCATCCAGGAAAAATGTGTATTACTTTTCATTTTCCACTTGAGAATCAGAGCCCAGTATTCAATATTTCCAAACCTAAAAGAAGTCCAGGTAGGAACTTGGTTGTTTTAAAACAGCAGTCTAATATTTTGAAAATGTTGCCAGATAAGAATGCTATCCTTTTCCATTCTCTTAAATAAGAAAGACACAGGTGCATAATATGGAAAACATAGTATTTCCCTTGATTTTTCCAATAAGTCTCTGAACTCTAATATTCTGTATCTAGCTTAGAATTCCATGCTTCTAGGATTCATATCCAGAATATGAGGCTTGCTGGCATAAAAATAGTATATATATATAATGCTCTAAATTTCATACTTATTTTAAATGGAGAGAAGAAAACCTATGAACAGTTGCAAGGTACAATTTCTTGAGATATTTATTCAATCTTTGCAGAAACAACAGTGTCTTTAAAAATAATTATAACAGGACTCAGATCTCAAGTGCTAAAAAATCAAGACATTTGTTGATAAATGCATGAATCTGAAAATATTCTGAATTCTCTGCCATTTTCCCCACTTTGACAAGAAATGGGAAAAAGTGGAGAAAAGAGCTTGAACATGCTTTTTATTACTTTTTCCTTTTGACGTAAGTTAGAGCAGCTTCCTAGAATATGATGAATAGAGATCTAGGAACTCTGTGTCTTTTTTTATGAGAAACTCTTGACTTTGGCAATTGTCCTGCCTGTTGGCAAGGACACAAATGTAGCATTTGGTGGAAAAAAATGAATCTATGAGGGTACGAAAGGAGCTCTTTATCCAAACGTGTACTATTTCCACCTTGTGATGTTCTGTGACTGGTTCAGTTCCAGAGTCTGTTTCACAAGGGAGGTGAATTTACTCTGGGCTTGTAGCACGTGCTGTGCTGGGTGGGCAGCTTGGCCATGGCCCTTGTGTTTCCTGAGTGAGAGTGGAGATGATTCACTCTGCTGCAGCAAATCAGGTTAGCTGGGCTTCAGTGCTGCCATGAGAGACAGTACTTACACTGCAAAATGACTCAGGAACAAATAAAAGAAAAGATCCCTTTCTGTTTTTTTTTTTTTCCCACCAAGAAATACACCTCCTAAAGGTTTCTTCTGTTGCTGAGCTCAATTATTGTGCAAAGTCAGAGATGCAATCTCTTCAACAACACGATCACATTGCCTGGAAAATCAACTGGGACAGTTTTTCCCTAGGGATTCAGCACATTGCATGATGTCATTGCTGTTTTATATCATCTGGAGCTCCCAAAATTTCACATACAAATGTAATACTGTGTCAGTTATCAGCTATCATGGGACAATAGCCTGAGTATGATTATTAAATGATGGATGCTTTGAGACTGGGTGTTTTTTGGTTGGTGGTTTGTTGCGATTTTTGTTGTAATTTTTTGTTTGTGTGTTTATGTTTGAGTTTTTTGCTTGCTTGGTTGATTTTAAGGGTGTTTTTAGTACCACTGAAACCTCCCCTGCAAAGAACTACATATTAATAATTTATCATCTAAAATGAGTCTTGGATCATGTTGCAAATGATGAGTTGCTTAGGAAAGCACAAAGGAAACTGCAGAAAATAAATACAAATCTGTAAGTTCTACCTGGCCAATGTTTTATCTCTGTAAATCCATTCTAACAGCAACTTAATTGACTTTGAAGGAGCCTTATTATTTTGGAAAAGTGTTGAAAAAACTTTATCAACTCCAACTATAGGCAGGCTAAACCCCAAATTCTGTACCAGTTGAAACCACCCCCAGTGATCATGGCAGCAGTCAAGTCGTAGTTTCAGCTTCCTTGTGGAATTTGCAGGTGAGAAATTGAAGAAAACTTTGGAGTCAGTCTGAAGCAAAGGGTTTTTTGTAACAATCCAGTTCCCAAAAGAAGTATTAAAGCTGTGCTGTTTCTTGTCTTTAAGTAAAAGCTGACATGTTCATGGATTATGGATGCATCTGTGCTGAGCAAACCCACTGGTAAAGGATGAAAAACTGTTTAAGAAACACCTGACAAAGTTAATTTCTTACTATAAAAGCCTGTTCTTTTAATTTTTAACAGTGTTATTACACCTTTTCAGTTATTTGACATTAAGGTATGATTGTTTATATTTACATAGGTCATGGGATTCAGAACTTTCTGAATCCTGTTGGTTCCCAGCTCAGGTTTACGTTGTGGTGGAACTTGAGTCGTTTCTTCATGAATAAATCTGTCCCCCTCTGTGTGTTTTCAGCATCCTATCAATAGTTAGAGGTTTTAATATAACCCACTGGTGAGTGAATGCTCTGAACACTCTGTATCACATCTCTGAACATGCTAATGAAAATGAAATGTTTGGCAAGTTGTAGGAGAATCTGTATTTGGTGGTGGAGAGGGTTGATCACTTTCCTGTATTTTTGTCCTGGAAGTTGTTCTCTCAGTGAGAAATTGCCATCGTCTGAATTTTTTCCTCTGGGTTCATGGAATGATTTAGCCTGGATGGGACCTCCCAAGACCTACCAGCTTTGTCAAACTCTACCAAGAGTGCTGCTTTGTGTTAAGAAAAATACGATTTTTTTAGTTTTAGCCACATATTAATCAGAAACCATGTTTTATTTCTTAGTTTAAAAGCTCAGCTTATATACTACGGGGTTTTTTGTTGGCTTTTTCTTTTGGTTTAGTTTTTTGGGTTTTTTGTTTGTTTGTTTGTTTGGGTGTTTTTGTTTTGTTTTGTCCTCAGAAAAGCCGCAGTTTTTCCGCGTGGGATGATGCTGAAGACCATTTCTCGAGAGCTTTACCCAGAGCCGAGCGGCTCCTGCTCCCACAAGAGGGAGCCCGGCGGTCACTGCAGGATCGGAGCCGTGCCGCTCGGAAGCGCTTTGCCATCTGTGGCCGGCCAGCAGAGGGGATGTGCCGGCCCGGGTTTAACCCCCAGCGCAGGATTCTCAGTCTCAAATCACAGGTATGTGTCTGCAACCGTAGTCTTAAAGAAATTTTGTATCTGATTAAAACACTGCTCTGTTCAATGCATAAGGTAACAGCAAAAATTCAGAGAACGCTTCAATTCCCAGTGGAATTTCTGGAGTTGTGCTACCTCAGTAGATAAAGAGGGTGTAGTTGTTTAACAATGTTATTTACTAAAAGGTAAGTGTGCACAAAGAAATCCCTCATGTGACTCATCCAATTCTTACTGCCTCCAGAAAGGACACAGAAAAGTGGACTCAAATAGAAACCTCTCTAGAAATAAATAAAAATGGTGAGCCTTCAGTGAAAGTTCTGTGTGAATTCAGAACATATCCCAGTGATCTCACATATCTGCCATTGTTTATAACCATGCCAGTACAATTTTATTATTCCTAGAAACACATTGCATGTTAGAATTTTGTTGGTCAAACTGTCACTAAGCAAACAAATAGTAAATGGAGAAAAGGCAATTTAAAAAATTTTTGTGACAGACTGGGACATCTTGAGATTTATAGAGTTATTTATTAAACATATCGATTTTATTATGATTTAGGTTATAATCTGTTTTCCATGTAGGTCAGCCAATGCCTGTTATGTGTTAAAAGCTGAGGAAACAAGTGCAGGGAAAATCATTTAAAGCCAGGAAACAAAAACGAAGAGGGATGAACTATGCAAAAGTGAATACATGCAAGCCATTTATGATATAGCTGAAAATACCACAGAATATTTTGATTAGCATCTAAAAAAGCATGGAGAGGAAAGCTGTTTAATGGGTTTTGAAACAGTACATAACTCAAAGGTAAGAAAGCTACTCCTGTGGAGTTGTGCTTTTCATTCCTATGGGGTTTTATTAGTTCTTATCAGGGTTATATCCCACTCTCTTTTCTAGAAAATGTACCAGAAAATATATGCTTCAGCACAAACATGAAAGGAGCAGTTTTATGAGGGATATGAGGGGTACATATCACTTTTTCCTGTCCTCCAAACAGGCAAGATGGGACTTCTTGTAGTTTTTACGCTTTTTTCAGAGATTAAATTAATACATGACAAGGATACATGCCTTGAGCAAGGTTAAGAAGGAAGTGTGATGGTGTGATTTTAGAAGGAAAACAATACCCAGCAGCCAGAATTCTGTTTCAATCATTTGCCAGCCTTCACCCAGAGGTGAAGTGTGGGACTGAGTTACTGGGGCTAAATAATATACAGGACAAAAGTGAGACTAACGCTCAAATAAAGCAGCCTTTATTGTCAGTATCAGTTATTTTGGAGTACCAGTTGCCCATCTCAGAAATCCAGCCTGTCATTTATTGGCAAGGAAGGTAGGATTGAGGGAATGACAAGCCTGCTACTAACCAGCACTTAGATGAGTGGGGGAAAACGTGACCTTTGAAGGTGAGCTGCATCAGTGCCTGGGGGGAGAGCCTTGCTGTGAACACAAGAGAGAGCAGGGAGACGTGCTGGTTTATACATAATATATGAGGGCATGGCTGTATGGACGGCAAGGGATACCTCCCTATGCACACAGGGCTGTGTGCATGGCACGCTCTTAGCCCGGCTTAGCTCTGCTCGTGTCTGCACGGTGTGATGATGCCCAGGCCTGTGGCTGCAAGGGCGAGCGGGCGGGACCGCTCCCGACTTTGCCTTTGTCTCCCAGGCAGCCGAGAGGAAGGCGCTGGGCCCCCCCCAACCCCCGCGGGTCCCCCGGCCCGGCTGCCCCTTTAAGAGGCCCCAGCGCCGTGTCAGTGCCTGCGCCGGGTCCTTCCCTCCCCTCCCCTTCCGCAGCGCCGCCGGAGCCGGGCGGCGATGGGCCGCGGCGGGCAGCGGGGGCCGCGCCGCCGGGGGGGCTCCGGCGGGGCCGCGCCGCGCTCGGGCACCGCCGGGTAGCGGCGGAGCTCGGCCGGGACGCGCCGCCGCATCGCCGCCCCGCGCGGGGACCGTGTGCGCCCCGAGCGCAGCACAATAGCCGGGAGGAGGAGACAGGGAAAGGGGCAGGGGGAGAGGAGGAGAGAGAAAGAGAAAGCACAACACGGGGGCCGGCGAGGGAGCGCGGAGCGGAGGGCTCCGGAGCGTGGCCGCGCTGAGGACCGTGCCCAGGACGGCGGCGACAGGAGGTGGGTGGGGGGCGATATTTACCTTCCCTCCCCCGCCCCGAGCCCGCTCCTTTGTCCACGAGCTTTGAAGTGCCGGGGGATCGCCGGGGTGGGAGCATTGTTGTTCGCAAGCGAACGATCCGTCATGCCGGGGAGAGAGTAGCGGGCGTACGCGGGGCTGGGGCCGGCAGGAGCAGAAGGAGACGGGGAGGAGAGAGGATTGCTGCCTGCCTCCCAGTGCCCTGCATGGACCGCGAAAGAGACGCGCTGAGTTGACCCTGCCCGAGCTGTTTCTGCTCCTACATGTGAGATCCGGTTGGTTTTTTCTTTCCACCTCTTTCTCTCCAGCCTCCTTCTTGTATTCTCCACTTACTCCCGTATGCAAAATGGTGGACCCTGTGGGGTTTGTAGAGGCTTGGAAAGCACAATTTGCAGACTCTGAGCCTCCTAAAATGGAGCTGAAATCTGTGGGAGACATTGAACAGGAACTGGAGATGTGCAAAGCGTCTATCCGGAGACTGGAGATGGAGGTTAACAAGGAAAGGTTCCGCATGATTTACCTGCAGACTCTTCTGGCAAAGGAGAAAAAAAGCTACGATAGACAGAGATGGGGTTTTAAACGTGTTTCTCAGTTGCCTGAAGGGGGTGCAGAGCAGCAGATCCAGGACCTACATCATCACCAGTCTGCTGACCAAGACGAATATGAAAAAAGCAAGTCACATCATGGGGAGGAAAAGTTCAAACCCAGGATCCCCTCTATGCGCAAGCTGTCTACCCAGAGCGATGGGTCCGACCTGTCACCTTTGGACAGCCCCCACCATGGAGAAGGAGAGCAGGACAGGTGTAAGTACTATGGTGAAGAGAAACTGAAGAGAGTTGTAGAAGACATGGAGAATCGCTGTGATACAGATGGCTCTCCTTCAAAACACAGATCGGCTTCCACTCGCAGGCTGGTGGGATCTGCTGAGAAGGAGGGATCATTTGAACCTAAGGAGAGAGGGAACAGCACCAGTGTGGCAGCCCTAAGGTCCAATTTTGAGAGAATGAAAAAAGTTAATTCGCATTCTTCTGGAGATAATAAGGATGTTGTTGAAAAGCCCTTTTACGTGAACATGGAGTATCATCATGAGAAGGGTCTAGTAAAGGTCAACGATAAAGATGTTTCTGATAAAATAAGCTCCCTTGGTAGCCAAGCCATGCAAATGGAACGCAAAAAGTCTTTGCACTCACTCCCTTCTAACATGGTACCCAGCTTCAGCGAGTTCCAGAGGCCTGCATACAGGGGGAGGTCCTCAGAGAGCAGCTTTGGCTATGATGGGGAATATGAGGATGCTGAACTGAACCCCAAGTTTCTTAAAGATAACCTGATTAATGCCAATGGCAGCAACCGCTCACCTTGGCAGCCCATGGACTTTCAGCCGTATCAGAGTATCTACGTCGGTGGGATGATGGGGGAAGAAGGAAAAGGATCCATTCTGCGAAATCAGGGTCCACCTGACCAGGAAAAACATCTCACGTGGCCCAGGAGATCTTATTCCCCCAGGAGTTTTGAAGATATCGGAGGAGGATATACTCCCGATTGTAGCTCTAATGAGAACCTCACCTCCAGCGAGGAAGACTTCTCCTCAGGCCAGTCCAGCCATGTCTCCCCCAGCCCCACCACTTACCGCATGTATCGGGATAAGAGCCGTTCCCCCTCCCAGAACTCTCAGCAGTCCTTTGACAGCAGCAGCCCGCCAACCCCCCAGTCCCAAAAACGGCACCGGCAGCAGCAGGTCATTGTGTCTGAGGCCACTATTGTGGGTGTACGAAAAACAGGACAGATCTGGCCAAGTGATGGAGATTTGCCCTCTGGGAGGTGTCACCAGGACAGCTGTTTCCACGGGGATACAGGTGTGTACCAGCTTTTTGTTTCGTCTTCTGAATGTATGGAGCAGGGAATGGCATCATGGAAATGAATTGGAGACCCTGGAATCAGTGAATCAGTGTGAGGGGGCAACTCTTTCATGTGAGAATTCTGCGTTTAATTTGTAGTTTTACTGTTTTAGGAAGATCCTACAGAAGTATATGTCAGACTGCATTTTAAGAATTCAATCTGGATTCCCAGAAGGGTTGATTCAGGCTTCTCTTGAGAGGATCAATGGAGTCCCATGTTAATAATTTCTTAAAGTTTCAGTCTGAGCACTGAGGTTACAAGGGGCCGGAACTTCACCAGGTATTCACCATCTGTGGTGAATTCACCACCAGTTTATTTCCTCTCTCACATTTGTGCACTATGGAGTAGTCAAACTCTACCTCAGAGGTGGTAGTGTGCCAACAAGCCACAACCTGAGGGTTTTGCCAGAGCTTTACCGATAATGATGCTGCTCCCACAGTCTTGTTTTTTCCTGTCTGTATTAATTACAGTGCTAGTTTCTCGTTCTGTCTCGTGTCAGCCTTCAATTAGAGCTGATTGGAAGTGATGATTATGCAGCTCAGTTCTTGGAGCTTTCTACTATCGCTGAGTGAAGGAAGAACTTGGAATATCAGGAAGCCCTGAGGGAAAAATGTTAACTAAATTTCAGCAGAAAAAAACTTTTCATTTGGGGAAGAATGGGCAATGTTTGAATCCGTTCTTATGTAAGTCATTCAGGCACACAGGTGTGTCTGGAATCACAGTGAGTTTATAGGTGGAAGAGGCATATGAGGAATTATATTAATTCAGATGAGTTTTTTCAATGTATATGAATGTCTGAACCTATTTGGCAAGGCATATAATGTAAATAGTATCTTGTGCTAGCAGCAGTAGTCTCCTATGCAATAAATGAAAATCAAATCCAGGAATGAAGAAAATAGGAATGTTTGTTTTGAACGATTTCTTAAATTACAAATCTGTGAGTTCACTCGCAGGTTTTCTTTGTCTCTTTCAATCTCTCATTTTAATAACGGATTAATGTGTTATTTGTCAATGGGACCAAATTCCTGTAGTAGTGGGTGAATTCAGAGGCCTGTCAGACATGTCACTTTCTCAGGTTGTTAGAGTTTGCTCTATTCTCAGAAGAGTAATTTTGCTCGAAGGAGATGCCTGGCTTTGCTTTCCCTGCTGATTATTTTTGTCAGCAATACTTTTGGGACCAGCAATGGAGGGAGAGCTCTTCTGTGCCCTGGTGCCATCCCCTTCCCCATTGTATTATTGGAAAGTTGGACAGTGGTAGTGGGTGTTCAGTGTACATGGAAGCTCTGCACCTCCTCACAGTGACTTCTCCCTTATCAGATTGGATGTACATCCCTGTTTTCTCTCTGGGACTGCTGCATTCTTCCTGGGTTTTAGGGGAGAGGCTGAGTTTTGTGCTCGTTTGAACTGAGCTCAGCCATCTGTCTCTACTCTTGTTTACTGATGCTCTCTAGATGACTGGGAAGCCTCCTGGCAATTTCAGTTTTTGCAGAAGGAAACAAAGGGGTAAAAATAACAAAGATTGATAAAGCTTGAGGATAAATTCAGCTTTCAAAAAGGCAATAGATAATTTTTATTTTAAATAATCTAGCTGGGATGCAGTGATTAAAGAAAACCAGCTGCAAAGTCAGAACACTTAACACTTCCTCGATGTGCTGGAAAGCTTTGTGTCATGTTCCTAAGGATGACCACACATTGCAGGCAAGGACAGAATGTAACTGATCCACCTTCTGCTTTCCTCAGCTCAGGGGGTGACATGGCAAGCTTAGCAGGAACTTTCACCAGATGGCCAATCAGTACTGTCTTGCACATTAGCTGGTGGCAACTTTTTACTTAACCAAAAAGGCTTATTCCTTCAGGAGGACTGTGTTTGCTGAATTCCTACTGAGCATCATTTAATAGGAGTTTTCTTTCCTTCCCGATTGGGATCAATTTTGATCTGAAACCAGTTGGCAGAACCTCCTTTTCATAAAACAAACAAAAGGCCTGAGAGACCACTGTGTGATTATCTGGCTGGCTCCCATTCCCAGCTACCCTGCTCTGATATGGGCTGTTCTCCATGACCATGTGATACCAAAGCCAGACAGATTTTCCAGCACCTGTGGTTCAGTCACTGGTTTTGCCAGGCTTCTCTAAAGTTTTTCTTGAACAGAATGCAAGTTTGAATCACAGTTGGTTCTGGGCAGCCTTAATGTTAATTAGCATCAAGTGGGGTTTATTCAACAGTACTTGACTTCCCTGTGTATTCAGATTGTTGTGTGTTTTCTGGCTTTGCCTTTGATCACTTTTCCCATAGCAGTGCTGAGTGTGCTGTGGACAGGTGCAATGTGAAATTTCCATCTGGATCTGGCCCGGTGCACCTTGAGCTTGGCCAGCAGACACGTGCTGTTCTGTCCAAATCATTTCATGAGTTCACAGTTAAGTGATGTTTTCCTGATTTTGTATTACAAAAAAAGGATGTAACTCTCAAGTGGATGGGGTTTGAGCCAAAATTTTAATCTGGGTTTTTGGAGGTGGATTATCAAAAACCTTAAAGCCTACCACACCTTGGTCTGCTTTCAGTTTTTTCCAAGGAGCAGCATGAGAGCTTCAGGGTTGAGATTTGGTAATAGCTGTACTTTCTATTGAATGTACTTAATGGAGCCTGGGCAAAGATATTGATATTAGGATTAATTATGTATCACTAATTTCCTGTAGTGGGAATAGAAAAAAATTTCACATCTTATCTTTGCATTAAGCTTCAATATCTTTGCTATGATTGTGAAGAAAGAACGAGATTTTTAACATTCTGCCTTGTGTTAAACATTAAATGCAGAAATAGACATGAGAAAAGCCACTCATTGTGCATTTCTGCTTACGGTCAAGGGGAAAGTTGCACAGCACTGTTGTGGAATGATGAGATCTTGCAGTGGCCTCAGCTGGGACAGTTTTTGACTAGGAGCAGTTTGTTAATGAGGAGCACACTGGAGCTGTTGCTTGGCTTTGGAGCTTGCTGCATAAAATCAATGTTCTCACTCTCTGTGAAATGGTTTTATCTGTCTGCATAATAACATGGAAACTATCTGGAGTCCAGATAAAGAATATTTACCTGCACAGCTGCTTCCCCCAGGGTGCCCCAGGAGCAGCTTCTGCTCATGTGAGAAGACTTGGTGGTGCTGAGAGTCGTGCCAGGCTCTTTCTCTAGACAGCCACCAAGCACCACAGTGCTCAATGTGAGGTCAGTTTGGGTATATGTGTCATTTAATTTCATTGGAGGGAAGTTTTACTTATTTTAGCCTCTACTAAATGTGGGACTTCTGAATGTCTCTTTCTGGAGAGCATGGAACGTTCTCTGTGTTAGTGAGTTTAATGTAGAGAGGGAAGAGAGCAGTGGAATTTATGCATGTGAACTGCAAGCCTCACAATTCCTATTATGGCAGTAGAAGGCCATTTAAAAACTCCTGCTTACCTTGAGCTGTGGGTTCTTCAGTTTTTGTATTCCTTAAATGCCTGACCAGATAGGCAAGTATCTGAATCTCCTGCTTTTAAGGCAAACTTGACACTACTCATTTTAGTACTTATTTGTAGAACCCCAAGAAAGCATGTAGTGTATCCTCATGGAAGGACCTTGTTCTGTACCAGTTTCTGCAAGTGTTTGAGTTATCTGCATCTTCTGAGATCTTAGACAAGTTTCTTAACTCTGCACTTCTTCCACCCAGAATTGTATTTTGTAAATTTTAGTTTTGAGATATAGTTTGGAAAGCTCTTTGTGGGGTTTTGCAGACTCCTGAGGCAGCATGCCAGTCCTGTTGCTGTTGTTCAGAAGCACAATTTCCCTTTGAACAGCTGAGGCAGACTTTGGTCCACTGTGTAAAGATTCTTCCATCTGAGGAGCTGAAATGTAGGAACTTTCATAATGTCCAGATTGCTTGTTAATTTTTAGGACCTGCTGGCCACAGGTTCTATCTGTGACTTACATTGGATCAATAATGTGTTTATTTTCCTGACACTTGTTTAGTTCATTTTGCTATTACTTCTTAAACACGTTTTAATTCTTTCTGTGATGATCAGTGATTTCCTAGGAGCACTGGTGCCGAGATGCAACCCCCCACCCTGCCTTGCTTTTCAGCGATTTAGCAGCTTTTGAGATTTTGGAGATTATCAGGATGCTTGCACTACCACTCCCCTCTTCTTAGTCTGGGGGAGTGAAGAGCTCCCTCTCTTTCTCTTCCAGATTTCTCTTTCCCTCCAGCAGAATTTAATGGAGTCTATGGAGCTGCTTTATGTCTCCAGTGACTATAGTGGACTCTGAAGTGTTTGTTTTGTTCCTTCTTCCTCAGAGAGTTGCTAGAGTTTGCCTCAGGCCTACCAGAAGCAATAGCATGTCGATAGATTATTTTTTTTTCTTTTCTTAGGCTCAGCCTAGATCAGGTATTTCTGCAGTCACAAAGCACCTGGCTTTGAAATGGGAGTGTAAACCAATCCACATAGTAATTGTCTGGTAAAGGGGACCCTGGAGACTGCTGGTGTCCCCTCATCTGCCTGTGTGAAGCTAATTTTCACGGTCCATGACAGAGAGGTCAGAGTGGGACTGCCTTTCCTGTGGAGTAAGCACACAGAGAGCTGTGAATTGTGCAAGTGGTGGGTCAGAAAGCTGCTTGTCCTCCCTGCACCCTTACCAACACTTTCAAAGGGGTCTCTGGCAGTGCAGATGAGCTCCCTTCGTGAGCTGCCACTGCTGCAAGAGGGGCTTGGGCCTGTTGGAGGCAGCCAGTGGCCTGTGGCTGGGTAGGTGAAATGTATTAGCAGTGCAAAATTAAAGTTTGGGGGTGGTGTAGGAAGTCAGCTGGCACCAAGCAGCCCCAGAGCCATGGGATATCCATGCAGCATCCATGCTGTGCTGGGCACACACTGCAATGCTGTGCTGCACACAGAACAGCTGGGCCAGGTCATTCTAGCTTGGTGACTTCACAGAGCCAGG